ATTTGCTATGCATCCTTAACCAGCCAGAGTGCTTATTGAAATGCAAATCCAGGAAATTTTCATAGAGAGCTCTCAAGTCTAAGATATCCTGAATCAGGTCATTGAAATTCACGATAAGAAAACTTCAAGTAAGCAGACAGAAAGAAGTAAATATTTAATTAGTTCTCAATTTTGTTATGCATGAGAAACACCTGGATGATTGTTCAAAAGGATTGCAGGATTCTATACTTGAAGTTTCTCATTCACTAACTGTAAAATGGGGCCTGACAATTTGTATTTTAGCAAATTTCCAGGTCTGTTGATTTTGCTGATCCAGGAACCAAATTTTTAAGAAGGATTGATCTACAGAGAAAACATTTCCACAGCAACATTCAGTACAAAAAGATAATGAGTTGGCCCTCCCTGGTGGTGCAGCGGGTTAAAGCACAGCACTGAGAATCTAAAGCCGCTTCCGCATGAGTTCGATCCCCGCTTGCCCCGGAGATGACCACATGGCCCGGCAGACCTCTCCTGACCCGCCCGCTGCTCCCCTCAGCAGTGTACTTCGTCGATCTGCCTGTTCTGCTCCCCCCTCTGTCTCTGGTGAACCCTCTCACCCTCTGCATCTCTGGCCTGTACCCCAGTTCTATATGAATAAATAAATAAATCTTAAAAAAAAAAAAAGATAATGAGCAATTGCTATAATATTTTTAAGAAAAAAATACCGCAAAATAGATTGTAGTGTTAGTACTAATTTCTTTCATATACACAAACAAACGCCGTGGAATTGCTATATATGAGAATCTCTTGGCAAAACTATTGTGATGAGAAAAGGTCGAGAACTCCGGAATGCAGAAGCTATGTTAAATATAAAGCCAATACCAAGTAAATGTGAAAATGATTGTTAAGCATATAATCAAGGTAAACTTTGATAAAATAATACTTACATATAGCGAGGCAGAATAATTTATCTCATCTATAAAATAAATTATGTGAACCAAAATTTGAGCTTCCCTTTAAGGACATCAACTTTACCATAAAAGGAAACTGATCAAAATTCTTAACAGATGCTATGACATGCTTGTTATTTTTCACACACTTTGTTTTTTCCTAATAATAGGATCTAGAGGGAACAGTATATTTATGACCTGAGTAACTAAAGAAAAGTACTGTTGACCAACGTAAGTTCAAATGAGATCTCCAGTAATAAAAGGCCTGACTATGTTCCAGCTTAACTAGCTTCTCTGCTGTATTTTCCTCTAATCAAAGTAAAGAAATCATGGCTCTGGTGCTGCCAAACTAGAGATTCACCTGAAATGTAAATCTCTGCTTATCAAGAATTGTGAAATGTAATGAAAAGAAGCCTGAAGATCTGTCTATTCCAAGTCTTGACATATCTGAACTGAAAGTGAACTCCATAAACCCTGGCATCTATGAAACTAGTGCTTGGAAAGGCACAGCATTTTTTTTTTCTGCAGATTTTTTTTTTAATTTTAATTCTGGGGGTTACATTATTTCTCTCCATCTGTGCACATCCCACTGCCCCTCTACCAAACCTCCTTTGTCAATAACCCACCTGCCTCCTTCCACATCCCCTGTTTCCTCCTCCCGTTCCCTCTGGTAACCATTACATTCTTTCAGAGTTCAAGATTTATTCCTACTCTGTTTGCCTGTGTGTGATAGGCACAGCATTTTATCATACACAATTATAGAAGGCCAGCACAGCTTCTGATTTTTAAGATGGCCATCAGAATTCTCTGTATCCCTTCTGTAGAAGTTGGAAAATAATCTTGAATAAGAAAGTAGGTCTTTCTCAGCTTTTCCAAAATAAACATAACTGGGAACTTTGTTTGCTTTGACAATAAAACTAAATTGGGAGGGGAGAGCGGAGATTAGAGGAAATTCGAGAGTTGCTAATGTCCTCATTTTTTATACCAGGAAGTCCATTTGAAACCTAGGCACTTACTCTTATTGCTCAATGTTTTCATTTCTCCCCCCATCCCACAATAATCTGGAAGGGTTTTTTGTTCGTTTTTTGGTAGGCACCTGGTTTACTTAAATGTCTCCACCCATTATCCCACAATGTATTACACTGATTAACTTTTTTTTTTTTAAGATTTATTTATTCATTTACACAGAACTGGGGTAGAGGCCAGAGATGCGGAGGGTGAGAAGATTCACCAGAGACAGAGTGGGGAGCAGAACAGGCAGATCAATGCAGTACACTGCTGAGGGGAGCAGCGGGCGGGTCAGGAGAGGTCTGCCACGCAATGTGGTCACCTCCAGGGCAGGCGGGGATCGAACTCATGCAGAAGTGGTTTCAGCTTCTTAGTGCAGTGCTTTAACCCGCTGCGCCACCAGGGAGGGCCTACACTGATTAGCTTTTAAAGAAATGACTAAATGAAGATATTATTTGTATACAGTGCATATGCTCTCATGAACACCATTATATTTTAATTTACTTTTCTAAATTTTTTTTTTACATCATTCTTCATTTTTGTACAATGTATGCTTTTCATCTCCTCTGTAGTCCCCATGGAATTCCCTCTACCAAGTCATCTGTGTGCCATCACCTGAGCCCTGGTGTGCATCCTACCTGTTCTGATTTTACTCCCCTCTCCCCGCCCCTGCAGAATGGCTCTGGTTTATAGTTGTCTGTTGATTCTCATTTTCACTTTATTATAATTACTTTTCCCCCCTACTCCCTTACATTTCTCCTAAACATGAAACAACTCGGTATTTTTCTTTATCTTTCTGGCTTATTTCACTGAGCAAAATCCCTGGAAAGACACTTTTTTTAAAAAGTAAAGTTGAAACAAAAGAGTTGAAGGTTAGCAGTTTCTATAGTTTCACTTCAATTTCTTTTTGTTCTCTTAAAGACAAGTAGAGAAAAATTTAATTAAAAGTAGAATTCACATTTACTCTTTTTAAAAGGATTTCTATCCCTCACTTTATATGCAAAGAAAACATTTTGGAATTTGGTGTTCATCTACTAGATTTAAATTTTTATTGCAGTGTAGTATACAATTGAATGATCTTTAGTAAATTAACAAAGTTGTGCAATCACTGCTATAATCTGAATTTTAGAACATTACCTTCAACCTAAAAAGAAAACTCTTGTGCATTTGCAATTGCTATTACCACCCCAAATCAAGACAACCAGAAGTTTACCTAGGTCTGTGGAGATTTACCTTTTAGCCTATTTCATATAAACAGTCATATGATGTGTGTGTTCTTTGGCATTTGACACTTTCACTTTGCATGTTTTTGAAGTTCATCCACATTATAGCATATACCAGTCATTTGTTCTTTGTTACTGAACAGAATTCTAATTATCAATATACCACATTTTGTTCACCCAGTCACTGACTAATGAAAATTCTGATATTTTTATGTTTTAGTTATGATGAATGAGGCTTCTATGAACAGTCATGTACCTGTCTTTTTGTGGATATATTATTTCTCTTGGGTAGATACCAGAGGATAGAATTGTTGGGTTTATAGTAAATTTATGTTTAATGTTTGTTTTTTAATTACTGAAAGCTGCAACTTTGAAAAGTGGCTACATCATTTTACGTTTCCAGTGGCAGTTATGAAGATTCCTTATTATATATCTATGCCACCATTTACAGTGGGAGGAACAAGAAAAGAGATTTAGGCCATCTTTTCCTGACCAAGAACCCCTCACTTACTGAATTTTATTTCTTCTGAGTTTATTAAAATGTTTGTTTTTTCCTGTTTTGCTAACTTAGACATGGTTACATTATGGGTATCAAAACCCCCGGAGAACCTTACCCAAGTCAGGCATTTAACACATTTTCTCAAACATGCAATGTTAATGTCATTTGGGGAAAAAAAACGGATACATCAACACAACAGGATCAAACACAGTTCTACTTAAGGAGATACACACACGCATGCACCACACATAAAGGTACTGCTGAGGGAAACACACATACACCACACACCCTTCCTTTCAGGTCATCTTTCAGTGTCAAACAAGGTATTTATTTCAAGCACAGTGGGATTCCAAAAACCTTCAAAGGAGACTGGGGAAATGGGAGGCCTTGATAGAGTCTCCTACAGGGAGACACAGTGTCCTCCATCTAGGACTCTGAATGACAGAGTCCCCTGCTTGGGGACTCTCAACTCTGCCAGAAGAATGCTACCTGGAGATAGGTGGCTTTAGAATGACCCAGGCAGGCCTGGTTCTTCTCTCCCACCTTAAGTGGAATTAAGCTTACTCCAATCAAGTCCATTAAGTCATACTCAGGCCAGTGTACCATTTATTTACATACTGTGTTATTTGTGAGAACAAATTAAAGCAATTTAATGGATGCATAATACTGTATACGAAAATATCAATTCAATGCAGACTAAAAAAAATTGTAAGAAAAGTAAGAACAGGAATAAAGCTGATGCAGGGCTGCTTCTCTGTGATTTTCTCTACCTGAAACACATAGCCCTCGAAAGGTGGCTTTGCTGGCGTACTCCCTTTGACATCTCTGACTGGATCACCATAAGCTCTCAGGTCCAGGAAACGTGGGGCAGCAAGGTAGACTCGGAACCTGGAGGGATCCTCTAGATAAGCTACAGAGGAAGCCAGGGCCCATGGAAATTTCCCTATAATACTCAATAGAGTCCCTGCTCCTGAAACATGTTTGATTTCTTCTAGAATATTCCTGAGTTCTTTAAGAATAGTCATGGTTTGCACAGTTTAACCTACTTGAAGATTCAGGCTAAGTTCCTGAGAGGGCACATCCCAGCTAGAATGCATTACTGGTCATAGACTGTCTAAATTGCAGCATGCAAACCAAAGCTAAAACTACAGTCATTAACTCCTCAAACTCTTGTTTTTCATACTCTATTTGATTCTCAAAATTTAAGCCAAAACCATTAGACACAGGCTTGCATTGTCCCTCCTAGGTCAGTAGGAATGAACCTTCCAAGTCAGCTGGAAATCTAGGTGATGCTGATGACATGTGGGAGCTGAGACGTAGCCATAGTCGTGCTGCTGATGACTAAATGACCACACTCCTTCCACTGTGGGAGCTGTTTCTCTCCTGAGGAATAGAAAACACACACACAAATCCAGTCAGCTGGGCTCTACTGTCTGTGTATAGACTACATGGGGTGCTAGATTCTGATGTAAATCCTAGGTGAGCGTTAGCTGGGACAGCACATCTGAACCTGAAAAATACATGATTCTTCATGAAGCCTGAGTTCAGTCTCTTCTCTCCCCTGAGCTTAGGCTTGTCTCCTTTTCTACCTTTAGCCACCCTCAGACACCTTTAAGTCTTATCATTGCTCACTCTCTCATTCACTCTGCCTTTTGCTGATTTTTAAGATGTTCAAGTCTTCCTTAGCCTGAAGAACAGGTAGTCCATTCCATTCCTGGTCCTCTACCATTCATTCATGAAGACAGGGCTCGGTTTTCCCTTGCTTATTTATATTCTCCTGAACCACCCCTTCTCAGCCCATTCTAAAAACTTTACCTTCATATGTTAGTATTTTTCTGAAGTTATTTTTCAAAGATCAGTAGTGATCTCCTACTGACAAAACTCAATGACTTTTCATCCACTTGACCTTTCAGCTTTTTTCTGTTTTGTTTTTAACATGCTCTATAAGAGTTAGGACTATGGTTTACATTTCTCACATTATTTTAGGGATTTTAAGAAAAGATTTATTTTATTTATTTATGGATAAAAGAGCTAGGGTGAAGGCCAGAGGTGCAGTATGTGTGTGTGAGAGAGGATTCACCAGAGACAGAGTGGGGAGAACAGGCAGATTGACTGAAATATACTGCTGCAGAAAATATACTGCTGCAGAGTGCAGAGGGCAAGACAGGAGAGGTCTGCTGCACCATGTGGGTCACTTCCCTGACCGGGGATCAAACTCATGTTGAAGTGGCTGCGGGCTTAATGCCTTGTGCCACCAGAGAGGCCCTAAAGACCATTTTTTAATATAAGTTTTGAATATCTACAGTCAGAGTCTATGATTTTGACCTTTCTTATTTGAAATGGCAAAATAAGGTATCTGTCCCAAAACGTGCATATATATATTGCTATAAAATGTAGTTTTCACTTTACCAGGAAAGTGAATTTTAGGGGACATGATTTTTAATCAAAATGCTGTGGCATGCTTGCTTTTTGATACAGAGGAAAGGAAACGATGGGGCAAAGGAAGTTGTCTAGTGCTGACTGAAGAAAAATCTAGACATTATTGGATAATAGATTCTTTTATTGGAAGTAAAAGATTTAAGTACCCCAATCTAAAAGAACACTTTGTAAATTAAATCAGAGTCAAGAAAAGTAGAAAAGATTATTTTGAATTTTCTACAGTTAGGATGAGCTTAGCATTGAGAGAAAAAAATGCAGTAGTTTTCACATGTACTCAAATAGGTATGTAAAGCTCAAATTCACAACAAAACAGAAACACCTTTTGTAAAAGCTCTTTTCTGATAGGGCAAGATAGAAAGTCCATTTGAAGAGACCAGGAAACAGGTACCACTACTGGAAGACACTAGAGTTTGAAGTTTGAAGTTCCGGAAAATCCTTCAACATAAATACGGCATTTTCTAATGGACAATGTATAGGGAATGGTTCTTACCTATTTCAGATTCCTAACAAATCGTGTAGAAGTCTCTGCTGGAATCTACTTAGTAAATGTTATTCTTGAGAGAAAAGGTCTCCATGTGAGTCAGTGCTTTTTTTTTTCTGGTTAATTTATATTGATATGAATATTTAATAACATATTTAGAAAAAGTATTTTCTGAAACGTTATGATAAGCTGTTACTGCTGAAAGTTTAACATTTAAGAAAACAGTCATGCATCCTAACTCAAGGAGTCAACTTCATGTAATGCGTAATCAAAGATCACCATCTAGTGGCCGGATTGTATTATAACTTCTGGAGTTAAATGGCAATGCCAGTGACGTCAGAGGCTAGGGAAGTATCAGTCGCGCCAAGGAAAGGGGAGAAGTAGGAAACTCAGCCTCCACTAAAGGCATTCACAGTTCAAATTACTAACAAAATACTGTGCCCTTCAAATCAGGGAGTCTTTCAAATCAAGCTTTGTTCTGGGCTTCTGTTCACTCTGAATATGTATGGTCAGTGAAGGTGATAAAAGTAAAATGATAACTCTTTAGGAGGTAAGTTCAGAGAGTTCCAAAACAATCATGGCTTTTAAAAGTATCTTGAGTGAAATCTTTGCCTCTCAAGAGGAACTTAACGACTTAATATTGGGTTCGCTTGTGAATTATTCCTGTGTACCTCTCGATGATAAAGAAAGCTGTGATACTTTCATAAAATGGGATGAAATAAAATCAGTAGAAAACATCAGTGACCCTGCATGGTTGAGTCCCTTCTCTTTCTCTAGGGAGGCAGCATGAGTTATTGATAGGGGCACAGGCTTGAGAATCAGAGGGCTGTGCTCAAGCCCTGGTTTCACTCCAATGGCATTGTCTCCTGGGTAGGTCACTTTAGCTGGCCTGTGCCTCACAGGGCTGGTTCAAGGATTAAATGAAGTGAGATTTGAAAATGGTTTATCCCAGTGTCTGCAAAACATACCTGGTATTCATTTTACCCTTCTCCCATTTACAAGAAACCACCTAATTTAACATGAAGAAAAAAAACTGTGAATAGCACTCAGATTTTGAGCCAAAACCTGACTGTTCAATTACATTTTTCTATTACAATGAAGAGATCATTTAATTGCTCTACAAATAAAGTCATAGTAGATGTACTGGCCCTGACTGATTTCATATTTTCACTCAGGGAGCAATTTTTTTTTTAAACTGGAACGTGGAAAATTATCCACTGTAAAATGAAGATAATATAAACCTCACAGGATGTTGTAAGGATTAAGAGAGATGTTATATCTATGTCCACAGTTCAATACCACTTAGGAGTGACACTCCTGGTTTTCATTTTTGCTGGTTTTTTCCCTCTCATGGGATGTCTGTGAAAATATGCTCTAATTGTCAGTAATTACTTCACAAATGCCTGCAGGCTTCTGCTACCTTACTCATGTATAGTCTCATAAGACATTTCTTTTCTGAAAAAGCCAGCACTGTGACTATTTTAAGTGTCCTGCTCCTTTGCACATGTCCTGTGTGTGACTGGTTCTTAAACAGATCAGCAGAACTTGCATTTCCAAATGACAGTTATCCCTTGACATGTACAAGAGACTAAAATTCTTATCCACACAATACCCACAACTCGGGGAACTTTCTAAGTCTACTACATCCCCTTTATCTCAACTGAAGCAAAAACAGAAAGGACTTTTGTTAAAAAATGAAATCGATTTTCATGGGTAATTTATAAGTTGACCCTGAAGGCAGTTCATGGCTATTTTTGAACAATGGCAGCACAACTCTGCAAAGTGACAACATTGAGGGAATACTATCATGTGGATATATTCATCATAAAAAGTGATTTTTAAGTCACATCTGAAGAACACCAAAGGCCCAGAAGATTTGCGTCCTTCTTTGCACCCTCTTAAGGTTATCACTGGCACACATCACCACTCTGCCTACTCAAGCTTCTGAAATCTTGGCCCAGAATTGGGATATCAAGTTTTCTTTTGTTTTTCAAAGAGTTACTTTTGTGAGGGTCTCACAAGGACGTATGTACCGTGAACACAACAGAATTTGGCACTCTGGTTTGCAAAGTGTGCACAGTGAAGTGAACACACTTCAGTCTGTTCTAATTTGGGGTATGGAAATACGGTTGCTAAGTAGAGAAAGGCGGCTATGACAGGAAGTAAAGCCTTAGTCATGAAGGCCTGCGTTCAAGTCTAGTTCCACTACTCACAAGGTGCTGTGTTATTCCGCATCTCATTTCCTCATCTGTGAATAGGGAGGGGGGATGCTGGGCCTGCCTGATCAGCCTCTTGGGTAAGACCAAGAATGAGAAGGTACTTTATAAGCAGCAAGCACCGAGACCCTCCCCTGCTGTCTACACTCACGGCTTCACATTCAGTTCTACAAGGGGTCTCACCAAGCCCAGAGGGCAAATTGTACAAAAAGGGGAAAGGTACCCTCAGCGGTGGTCTGTGAGGGGGCCTGTGTCAGCTACTTTCAAGCCTGGCTGAAGGTTCCTTTCTCCCCATATCTGACCCTCAACTGAGTGCCCCAGGCTCACCAAGCGCCTCTCCACACTTCCTTTTTTCCTGCCATTCTTGTCTGGAATGACATCCAGTGAGCGGTAGCTGGGTGGCTTCTCCTCAGGCCAGTTTGGAGACCGTGAGCGACGACGGGGGTGGGCCCCCCATCTCCTGGGCTGTCTCTCCTTTTCCTCTTCTGAGCTCCAAGAACTGAGGCCTGAAGGCAATGGAGGGGAGTAGCTTCGAGGCCTGCGTCTCTGGTGTCTCCGGATGCCTTCCCTGGGGCTGGGCCTGTGGGGTCTCTCTGGGTATCTGCTCCTGAGAGGAGGTTGACTAGACTGCCAGTGGGCCTCACTGGATGAGGGGCCATCACTGAGGCTGTCCCTGTCTGACCAGGGCGTGGGTGAACCCTGCAGCCTGGAGCTGTGATGACTTCTATTCCGCAGCTGGCTCAGCTCCCTTTGCTGCGACACCCAGCGCTTGGGTTCCCGGTTTTGAAAATCCTGTCGGAAATCAGGATAGTAGTGCTGCCTTCTCCCCTCCCTCAGATCCCAGGGTCCAGTGGGGATCGGGGTGTGCCACTGTTGGTGGGAGGAGCTGCTGGTCTTCTGTGAAGAAGGCAGGCCTCTGGTCAGCGGCGGCAGGTGGATAATTCTGCGTTCCACAACCTCAGAGCCCAGGGAGGACAGCATGCTGCAGGGATGGCCAGCTCTGGCTTGAGGGTCAAAGGCCAGAGGCTGGGCTGGGTTGAGGTTCCGCAGCTCTTTCTCCAAATAGTCTAGGACCCCACTGGGGATGGGCGGGGAAGTGGCAGTTTGGGTCATTGGCATCTGTGCGAGGCTGGATCTCAGGGACAAATCTGGATGGAAACAAGGACAAGAACATGCAGAATGCCTGGCCAGAACGTGCTCCTCAGGATCAGGGGACCAAAGTGCCCCATTATTCAGCATGGACCACCGCTTCCCATCACCAATCATAAGGATGCCCACACCCTATTTATCCCGAGGGGCCCTGATGTAGCCCATGTTCCTACCCTTGCCCTCTGCCCTCTCCCACCCCCACATCTCTGGCAATGTTTACCTCGCTGCAGCAGTGGGTTCATTGGATAAGATGAAAACTGGGAGCTCCTGTCCGCCCCCCAGTACAGGGGTTTTTCCATCAGCTGAGGGCCTAGAACCTGAGCCTGCTTCAGGTAGCGGTGGCGGGCCAGGGCTGCAGGGGGGAGAAGGAGAAAGGCAGACCCTCAGCCAGGGCGAGGCCCAGACCTCCACTTCACTTCTCTCCACCTGGCAGCCTTCCCAAGAGACCATAGTATCTCTCCTCAAAGTTATTGCACAAGAATAAGTAGTAAGGGAATAGCAGATTCATTGCTGCTCTGGCAAGGAGCTGAGAATAATTTTCCTAGGCAAGAGTGCAAGTCCTGCACCCTTGCTCTTAAAATTTGACATCTTAGGCCCTCCCTGGGGTGCAGCAGGTTAACGCCCAGCACTATGAACTAAAGCCACTCCGGCATGAGTTCGATCCCTGCCCCAGAGGTGACCCACATGGCATGGCAGACCTCTCTTGACCCACCTGCTGCTCCCCTTAGCAGTGTACTTTGTCGATCTGCCTATTCTGCTCCCCACTCTGTCTCGGGTGAGTCCTCTTGCCACCCCTGCACCTCTGGCCTGTACCCCAGTTCTGTGTGCATAAATAAATAAATATTTTTAAAAAACTGACATCCTAGTCTGAAAAATATTTCATCATCCTGCCCATTCCCAGGGTCACCTAAATACATGGTGCTAGCAGATGATGAAATCTCAGGCACAGGTCAACAAGACCTTGAGCCACAAGCCAAATATAGACAGTACAGATGCAAAGGGCTCCATGAGTGGGACTGCCAGGGAAGCTCAGGGACACCTGCTCAGAGTGAAAAAAAGAAAAGGATGTAGATGCTGAGGTGGATGGGCAGAATTACTGGTAAAGGGAGGGGCAGACCAGCCCTGGGTCTGAACAAAGCAATGGGCAGATGACAAGAATTTGCAAAAAGCTGAAGTGGATCCCAGGGATTCCTTTCTACTCTTCTCCTTGCCTTATTAACTTCTGGGGTTTTCCCTAAGTTGGTGGAATCTCTAATGGGGGAGGTGAGGGGCAGAAAAGGGAGAAGGGAAATACCATTTCCTTTCAGAGCAGAGCAAGTAACATTAAACAGCAAACAGGAGCCATAGAAATGTCACCCCAGTCGTTTAGGTGTGGCTGGTCTAGAGCACACAACCCCCAGAGAGTGAAAATTAAAAACAAAAGCATTTCATTGTTTTTGTTCACAACTTTCTATTTTGAGTCCATTGTGACTCAGTGCCATGTGGTGCCCAGGCACCTGTCTATCCACGCATGCAGGAAACATACGTGGGTGCTTTGCTACATGCAGAAAGTG